CAGAACTTCCAAAATGTAACACTGAGTATTCATTAGTTTACCACTCGCGAGTGTCCGTACCTACGACCATTTGGCAACGAGCCCATGTGCAAAGGAGCACAATCGACATCTGACCCTCGGGATTGACCGCATGCAAGAAGTCCGGTATCACCGATCATGATTGCCAACTTTTTCTAGACCTACTTGCCTGTTCACCAGGTCGCATACAACGGCGAGCGACTTCTTAAAATGTTGCCAGTACGCACGATCTTTCAAGCACCAGACTCAGCGCTACTTGCCGCGCGTCTAGGACACGGTCAAATTCTCTCTTTCCAATAGACCCTTGCAGAATCAAACCGATCTCTGGTTGCCATTTTGAGGAAGTTGCTGCCTGCGGAAACCCGCCGCAGTATAAGTGAGTGCGATCTCCCGGTGGGCACCCCTTCCAGGGGACATCCTGAAGACAGAGGCCTCGTTAATCTTCGACCCGAGGTCCCTCTTACTATTACACTCAAAGTCAACTCCCGTGACTTTCACCACTTAAAAGAAATTTGTTATCGTGTCGCCGTGCGTTGGGCGGTCGACAGAGTTGGCTGGCGAACTCTCCAGTCCATCAATTTCCCTTCTTATCAGCAGTTGGGAATAACATCCAGCGGAGCTGGTCAGCTGTCGTGGCGATGAGAAAGGCAACCGCGCTTAAGTGAGGGAAAGCCCCATTTACCACTGGTGACAGTACTACTCTTTGTGACCTCATAACCGCCTTACGTTACACCGTATTATTTGTCCACCTAGCCACACAACCACTCCCATCACGGAGGAAGTCGTTTGTTGATTTTCTCGTCTGCCTGAGGTGGGCGAGTACGTTATGGCGTGGGCGTCAACGTATCTAAAATGTCAGAGGGGTAAGCCTCATTGTCACAACTAGTCCCCACGTGGAAGTTTTGCGGGCCAGACGTTGGGTTCCGCAACTTCCATCCTTCTGATGCGAAACCCCTTAGCACACGTAGAGGCGGTAGTCGTGAGCACAGACTGCATCGGCACTTGACGACACTCTCCGATGTCTTCACTACTGTAACGATTCATCGAGGCACACCACCCAAGTCCGCCCTAATTAAATGACGAATACATCACTAGAGCCTCGAACGACCTGTTGCCCGACTGCCAGAGACCTGATCGTGATGTTTTATTAACAATCATACTCCGCTCGGACATGAATTCCGACCTCTACTGCCCAACCGCAGAACAGATACTCGGCTTCCCGCGACTACGACCCGTACGCTGTGGCTGGGTGAGCAGGTCACTGAGAGCGCACCACTGCGGTTCTGTCGACATCGCTGAAGATGTGAAGGTACTTATTATCCGGCACTATGATGGGGCAGTGACAAATACGAACGTCATTAATCTGAACTTTCCGGGGTGGACTTAAAATGCAGTCCATGAAATCCGGAGAAAATTGCGCCTTCGACTCAAACATCCCTGTTTGAGACTTAACTCAGCTGAAAAAAATATATATGAACGAACCTGCGTCCCACCACCGCTTCCCACCGTGAAGACTTTCCGCTTGCGCTCTGACCTTATGCGTCGTGCAAAATCAAACTTCAGTCGGGCGTTTTTGAGTTGCCTCAGTAAGTGCTTATTCATGCGGAGGCCTACATTGCCGATAAAGGATCTCCTTCCTGCTAAGATGACCCTATTGGAAGCACGGAGCACGTTATATGGGAAGCCGAAGGAAAGTTCGCCTCTTTGGAGTGTAGCCACCCGCTATCACGGCCGCCGGCACCGTCCTTTACTCACATCGTCGTTTTCGGTGCTCCACGAACGGTTATAGCTGACCGGAGTGCACAGTCCGAATAGGCTGTCACTCCGGCCCCTTTCAGCTTTCTTGACTCGGACGACAGTCAGCAGCATGGACGTGCATTTTCACCGCTGGTATGACAAGAGCTTGGTTGGTTGCACTCAGGTGTCCATTGGGTGTGACCGCGTGCGCAATCCGCTGGAATTACAACATGAAGGACCATTCCCGAGTACTATCACGCAACACCAAGTGCTGTCGGATCCTTCGCAGCAACAAGGACGTTGTCAGCGTTGACCGAGTCGGGGCTGTTGTTCTAGAGGGGCCGCCAGACATGCCTGTAGGACAATGCGCTGACAGTCTTCCCCTATCCTCAGCCCCTCCATTCCATCTACTACCTGTCCTAACATGCCCGATGCCTCTAAGTGTTAGCTCATCACCCTCTACCGCAGCACGCACTCAATCCCTCCCTGTTTATGTCACACGCAGTGGACGTCGTGTTCACTTCCCCAACTGACCTGTTGCTCGTGCTTAGGCATCATCAATTTCCTCCCCGTCGCTATATGCTGCCTCCGGACTGAGCAATGGATACCGCAGCTGTCCCCTCTTACGGCCGTCAGCGCGCCGTTTATCTGTGCCGCTTTCTGGTTCGCCTAGCACGTCTTACAAGAACTGTGTGCGTCGGTGACTCGACTTTCGGCACGCAACACTGACCAGCATCCCTTTCTTTACCGGATGGCCACGGTCGGATGGGCCTAGGGCGCGCTCATTTCGGCTGCCACTTGGCTAAAGGGAACGCTTGTTCCAACTGCTTGCTGAGCTGCAAGTACACTCACTCACCCCAGTAAAGCTTATCCAGCTGTCCTCCCTACCTTCTGATTTGTCGACCGTTGGTACCTCGAGAGGAGTTCATCTACCTCATCCGTCTTCATTAGCTAACAGAATGCCCTGAGGGAATGCATCCTTGAGTCTTGTGCAAATGAAGCCTGCCCGCAACAAATTGCTAGCACTGTATTTCTTGATATATCAGACGCCAATCTGACCCTTATACTATATAGTGGCGCTGAAGTACTTTGTGCCCATCCATAACGTCAGACGGAAGGCGTACCGGACGAGACCAATCTTAATCAACCTCAGCCTTACAGATACAATGGATACTAATCACGAAGGTGCTGCAGGTAAGCGCGAAGCAGTTAAGATTCCGAACAACGGAGACGGCATAAGAACGGGACAAATGGGGGATGAAGACTTAGTATGACACTAGGGACTGACCACTATCTGCTCGAGTCGATTTTGTGAAACCGGTCGTCAGAGAAGTGATTATCGACCTCGATCACTACCTTACCACCTCTAACCGTCTTCCAGTTGGATGCAAATGTGGCAAACGGGCCCAGTTGTGGTAAACAATTACCAACTGCACGTGCAATTACGATAGAGAATGAGAAAAGTAGTCACTTGGCCGACCGACCCTGTACAGGACAGGAAAGTAGCACTCCACTGACCGCTCTCAGACCGTCCTCGGTTACAGGATGTGGGACGCTCCTTAGGGAAGACTGGCGCCTAGAAAAGACACATGATCCGAATCATTAGCAGAGTCGGTGTCACCGGGACGTTTAATGTTCTAGCCGAACGACTGTCCCATAAAATGTCGACAAGCCCACGGCTAATACCAGCACAGGGCCTATGAATCTACGCCAATCTGCGGCTCGTGTATCTGTCTACATACCGAGTCGATATCCAAGACACACAGTTGCAGGAAAACATCAACCTAGAAGGATGTGCAAGTTTTCTACAAAGGATTAGGTAAACGGGGTGTCAATGAGCTATAGCCAAGCAGCACATACCATCAACTGGCAATTTTTTCCAGGACCGACTGCTTACACCATAGTTGTAACTTGTGAGTAATTACAAATCAATCTGTTCCGTTCAAAGACACCAAACATTAGCACAGGTTCACAGAAAATCAGGTACGGCAGCCCGGACGATGGCCTTCGCTGCTCTAGACCGCGGCTTAGTCTGTAGTTTGGCGGTGATAGAAGGCTGGAACAGGTTCCCAGAAACCAGAGCCGCACAACATATGTGGGCTTGTAGCGTGCGACGTCAAAAATAGTGAAATACTTGGATCTGCAGTCACAGGAGAGTGGGCCGTGCCCGGATGGACTTTTCATTAAACACCGCACAAGGATCCGCAACGCGAACAGCGACTGAGCTCTAGGCTGAACATGTGCTCACTAAATGGTTTTCATCTGTCACAAGGCGCCCAGGATTTTCATTTCGGTTGAGAAAACAAACAACCGAATAAAGGGTTCATACATGCGTGAGCAGCACCACACCTGCCTACTATGTCAACATGTGGAAAGACCGCCACCGAAACGCGAGCAGGCTACTAATATACAGCCATGTAGCACTGATGACGACCGGATGGAAAAAACGGAACCAGAGAATCGGGAAATAAACTAGTAAAACTCGAGTGTCGTCGGTAAGGATGGCCAGTTCTGTACGTTCGGACGTAACCAGTAAATTAACCTATCGGCAAGTCATTCCTGGCTAATTCTTACTGTGCATTAAAGGAAGTAGCCGAACTCCCTCAGCTCAAATATATTTGTACAAATTGGAATTACTGGCCAGCCTTCGCCATTCTAGCCTTGTACCGTTTGCCGTAAAGGCGCTTGTTCGCACGATGTTGGCGTATTGCGTGGAAGGCAGAGTACTTCTTCTCCGATTCAGTAATCTTGTGGGCTTCATCCCGTTTGGTCTTCTGGACAATTGGCATTACCATCCTGCGCTGCGTCACCTTAGTAATATCGCCCTGGTGAACAGGAACCGGGAGGATCTTTGCCTTATTGAACAAAATGAGCTTGGACATGTACTTCCGGAGACGAGCGACATTCCTCTGGAGACCTTCGACAGAGTTGTTCCGGCGTCGGTGGTCAACTGAAATACCAACGCTGCGCGCAATTTTACGGCTAATTCCAGCAGCTCTGAGCTCCTCCAGGCTGAAGCCTCGTCCGGCTCTGACTTTCATGTTGTAGCGCTGGGTTGGGCAGTTAACGATGGGCCGAAGAGGACCCGATGCTGGCTTTGGAGCGATACGCTTAGCCTTGGCCTTGCGGGCTTCCTGGCGACGGTGTTTGCGAGCCGGCTGGTTAAACCACGTGCGAACCATGAACTGCCATTTCTTGCGAAGGTGGTTCTTATGTATCAAATCATTGCCGTGCGCCATGGTAACTTACTTCAGATGAGCTGCAACAAAGGCGAAAAACAGCACATAGAGCAGGTATGTAACATTACAGGCTGGGTGAAAGTAAAGGGCAACCACTGTGACAGGTATTCGATGACCATTCTGAGGAGGGGCAAATGAACTGGAGTAGGAGAGTTGGGATCATAACGCGGGCCGCAAGGCACACGTGCGACGCGCAAACAACGTTCCGACAGCTGTGGTTAGTTCTAGTCAAGCGTCCTTTAGTAGCTATTTTAATCAACAACTAGCAGGTGCGATAGAGTGCACTAAACTGTTACTGTAAGGGAGTCGGTGGGGAGGAAAACCGTACGCAAACGCTAGGATAGACTAAATATCCAAAAAAGCAACAGGCCGATGGGCAGGTCGCGGACAGGATGAAAAAAAGCCTGGCAATCTCAATAAGAAGGAGAACCTGCAAAAACTGCTGGAACAAGAAGATAAACCTAGACCTGCTACCAGAAAAGAGGGCCCACAGAAGGCAATACCTGCAAACGTGCCCAGGTGCACACTCAAATTACCTCGTAGTGGCCCCAAGTGTTCACTTAAACAAACTCGGGGAACAGATCAGATGACTAAGGGGGAATTGGGTATGAAACTTGGGGAATCCAATTTACAGAAAAAAAACGTAGAGCCGTCTTAAGAGAACGAGAGGACGTTGGAAAAGTCAAACTGGTGCGTAACACGAGTTATATGCATTTCAAGGGAAAAAATTAATTTTTCAAAGTCCAGGCTAACTGTGAGGCATGCATCGCTTTGAGGTCTTCCTCTAGTAGCTGATTACCTTTGAAGAGATTAAGGGCCTTTCCATACTAAAGCAATCCGATCCGTTCTGAAGGCGAACTGTTTGTAACAAGTTCTAGCATACTTGTGAATAACTTAAGGGAAGCATATTTAGGTTAGGTAGGCGGCTTGTAGACATCACATTTCAGCGACTACGTTTTTAATACCAGTTTCACATTTTTTGAAATTCGAGGAAGCCAAGCTCTTCAGATTTTGGTCCACGGGCCGACCTTATAATCTGCTGTTTGAAAGAGTTGGATTTGAGCCGGCAATATCCTCACCCTTATAAATTGACAGCGTAATTACAAGAGTGAGGTCATATCCCGGTCGGGCCACCTCCTCATCACCAACTTGACGAGCTTCTTTAAATCTGCAGATGACCGAGTCGTTCTGCTATCGATTTTCTGCTCCACTTAAAAAGAATGCTAATCTTAAGACGATATATCGGAATGTTCTACTCTGTTTCGGGTATATTTAAATCGATATTATGATCCAGCAATATTTCACAATGGACAAGCATTTTGCTTATCGAATTCTGGATGATGCTGCCAATGTCCTTCATTTGGAACTAATGGCTGTGAAGTCCTCCTGCTTCATGCGCCGTATCTTTTGACATATCTCTTGCCTTGAATCAAGATGTCGAGATCATCGTAGGCGATTTTGATTTGCCAGAAAGTGACTGGCATAAACACACTTCCTCTCCTAAATTCTAGAAGCTTCTAGACACTATGCACTTTTCTAACTTGTCTCAATTAATTCACTCTTTGACCAGAAACAACACGTTTATTAGATTTAATTTTTACTAATGACATCTTCCCTCTGTTTATGGATTCCATCGTGCCATTTTTGTAAGTGATCATACATTAATTCATTGTCGTTTTCCTGTTGCCATTTCCAAAAAGCCAACAGTAAAACGCAGCTTTTTTGTCCATGCAAATGTTAAAAAGGAATTTGTTAATACTTTTACAGGCTCTCTTGATTGGCATAATATTTTTTTAAAAAATGATCTAAACTTTTTCAACAATTACAGTAGGTAACAGAAGGTCCACTCAGCCTATTTCCACGGAAGAAGTTTAAATCGCGTTCCACTTCCCCGCTGTCCCATATTTTCCTAAAAGCAGACATAAAAAACTACGGAAGCAGCTTAGAGATCCTTCCATAAGCTCATTATCAGTTCACCTAAGAATCGTTGAAATATTTGAATTAGCTTCGAAAATGAGGCTCGCGCGAAATAGGTTTAGTCAGTCTCTAGCTATTATTGGCGTAAATGCCTCTAAATCAATTGCTCAGGTCTTTCGTCTGAGATTAGCAGCTAAGTCCCACCAAGTCACTCCGCCTTTGTTTATTGCGAACGATACCTTCATTACAGAGGAGTCAGGCAAAGCAGGAATTTTAAATTCATTCTTTGCCAAACATTTCACCATTAAAAGGGACTCAATTCCTTTAATTCCCCGTTGTCTGAAACTATTCCGAAACTGTTCAGTAGAACCCTCGGTTGGAAGTGAGGAAAAAATCTCGTGGCAAGGTGAAATGGGTAAGCAACACAACAGGAATATAAAACTCCAGACGACTCCGGTAGATCTCCTGGGACCTTCGGCTGAAAAGGCAGCCGGAAACAGAACAAATGGACCCATTAATCGTCAGCATTGCTTAGTCGTCCAGGGCAAATCGGAGTCGAGTGCTCCTATTCCGAAAAGGAGGATTTCCGCTGACCTTGATATGTTTCAACACCTACTGAACAAAAGGCTTAATTCGAATGGAAAGGTAACCATTCGCGCAGCCTTTAGGATCGGAAAGAGGGCGAGCGAACAATCGGGCACTGTGCGGCCTCGACCTCTGAAAATTGTTTTGGGCAGTTAAGAGGAGGCTAGCTTACTTCTGTCCAGGAAGAGCAGCCTCCGAAACTTTTACATGGAAGTTTTTACAGCCGGACTATTCTCCCGCAGAACGTCTGAAACTCCGCGAATTAGTGACAGAGCTAAATAGGGGAAATGCAGCAGGAGAGAGCAACTTGGCTTGTTTCAGGGGACGAGCGATACAGAGGAATGCGATGTTGCTTTGGAACCGGCCAGTCATCATGATGGCGGCAATAACATAATATAGGCAAGCCCGAGACAAACCGAACGAAGCACTGTCGAGTGCTGCAAACTTAAATTCTTTTACACCAATGCTCAGAGTCTGTTTTTTAAGCTAGACGAACTAAGAATACAGGTAACCGACGCTCCTCCGGACGTTATTGCAATCACATAAACGTGCCTGTCAGAGGACGTAGGTGATTGCGAGGTAGCACTAGCAGGATAACAATTCTTTAGGAGAGACAGGAGAGGCCGCCGGGGTGGAGGAGTTGCCATGTATGTCAAGAGCGACTTAACGGTGTGTGAGAGGACCGACAAGATTTCTGGCGACACAGAGCCAATTTGGCTGACTATAAAGGTACAGGGATCTCAGTCCCTTGAAGTCGTAACTATCTACCAGCCCCCGCAGACGGATCCCGACCCAGACACTTGTCTACTGGAAAGCATAAGAGAGATTGCCAGTGGACCAGACGTTGTTCTCAGGGGGATTTTAATTCACCCTGCTTTCAATGCAGTGATATGCATGCGAAGTGCTCGAAAAATGCCTTCGACTACCGTCTATTAAAGACAACCCTAGAAGCTCTTCTTACGCAACGTGTCCTGTTTCCAACTAGCGCGCGTGGACGGCAACAGGCCAGTTGTCTGGACCTCGTTTTTACCAAAGATCCTGACAGTATAGACGAGGTGTACTACCTACCCCCGCTCGGCCGAAGTGATCATGCAGTACTTTCATGGGAGTACGAGCTGTATTCTTAACCATATAAGAAATAGGATACGAGGCCAAATATATGGAATGGGGACTATTGCTAAATGAGAGCTGAGGCATCACAAATAGACTGGGATGTTATCTTCTCCGGAAACGTTAACGAGGATTGGAATTTATTCACGGATCGGTTACTGCATCTAATGAAGAGCCACTGTCCCTTATCAAAGCCTAGGACATCCAACCGCCCTCAGTGGTTAACACGAGAACTTAAAAAAGGGATCAACAAGACAGTAAGGTTCAGTCAGTGTCAGTGTATTTAAAGGGGAATAGGCTTACGCCTTTGAACTCCCTATTTGTACATAATAAATCGATAAATAAGCAAAAATGTGAAGAAATTACAGCATTAGGTGAATGCAGACATTCATTGATATATGTCACTGGTCTCATGTTTAAAAAGTCACATAGTCCGCTTGTTGCTGTAGCATATGTCTGTCAAGCCGACATTTAAATGTCTCCACAGATTGAGACATGACAACCGTCTCGGGAAGATTATTCCACGGTCCCACGACACGATTGGAGAAGGAATATCTTCTCACATTCAATCTACCCTAGGGCACACGGAGCTTGAAGGGATGTCCTCGGAGGTTAGTTGTTGTGGCGAGTTGGGAAAAGTCATCGCACCGAAGGGCTCAGTCCAAGCCACGCACGATACGGAAAGTTTATATCAAGTCTCCGCGCAACTGCCTATAACTCAGAGGATAGAGATTAAGGTTATTTAAGCGAATATCGTATGGCAGTGCACTCTGACCTCTTATTAATTTTGTTGCTCGCCTCTGTACCCTTTCGAGCAGATTGTAATCCTGATGCGTCCACGGTCTCCAGGCCTGAATTGCATATAAGAGATTTCAGTATAATTCAGCATACATGAGGGATAGAGGCAGAGCCCTGGAAAACCCTATTTACAGGTAGACGTATGAAAAAACATGCAGATATTTACATAACAGTTATACCAGTCAATGGTATTATGTAAATGTTTGACCATCAAGCATAAATTTATCTAGTCTTCTTTTGAAAGTCTCGACGTTTTCCGCTAAGACAACGGAGTTCGGCAATTTGCTCCATCCCTCAACCAGCCGGTGGCAGAAGAATTTGGCCCGCAACTCGAATTTGGCATATTTCGCCTTCAATTTGTATTGGTGCCCTCGAAGATTTATCGGCCGCGCCAGTTCGAAGAGGTCGTCAAACTGAGGAGCACAGTCTAGCCCTCGGACGATCCTGAAGGCCATGATAATATCCCCTCTGTACTGCCTATAATAGAGAGGAAATATTTTTAGCTTCTCCAGCCGTCTCTCATAAGGTAAGCTACTTGATCCGCCGACTAGCTTGGTCGCTCTTCGCTGTATGTTCTCCAGTAGGGTGTAATTTTTTGCTTCCAGGGACACCATGCCTGGACACAGTATTCCAACATTAGTCGAACGTATGTGCCAAATACTCGGCCGAAAAGTTCTTCGTCAAAATTGACGAAGGATCTTCTAATCGTGCCTAAGATACCCATAGCTTTCTTTGATACCTTGGCGCAGCGAGACGATGGTTTGAGAGTTGACGTCATCCACACACCGAGGTCTCTTAACTCGTTGATTGATTCGAGTTGGTGACCTCCTATAAAGTACTGAGATTCACACCTCAACGGCCTCCTGTTGCTCGATCGTAATCGGATAATTTGGCATTTGTTACGATTTGGACTAAGACACCACTCATCACACCATTGTTGCAAGCGATTCAAATTGTCTTATAACTGTACAGAGTCTTCCGGCTTTTCTAGTGATTTCCACAATTTGAGATCGTCGGCAAACATTACTCGCTAGCAGTTCAGACAGTCCAGGCAGTCGTTCACATATATTGAGAACAGAATTGGACCCAGAACGCTTCCCTGCGGAACGCCACTGTGCACGGATGCCCATTCCGATTTAGCGTTTCCGATACACACACGCTGAGGTCTGCCCGTAACAAAATCGGCTAGCCATTTCAAAAGATTTCCATGAACACCCACTTGACGTAGTTTACATATAAGTCGTCTGTGTGGAACACTGTCAAAAGCCTTTTTGAAGTCAATGTACACGGCGTCGACTGATAAACCCATGTCGATTGATTTCGTTCAGCTGTCCATGGATATTAGGAGGTTAGTGAGACAGGATCAACACCTTCGAACTCCATGCTGATGTAAACTGAGCAAATTGCTTTCTTCGAGGTGCCGCATCAGCTCCGTTTTTATTACTTTTTCCATCAATTTGCAACAGATGCTTATGAGACTCACTGGTCTGAAACTATTTGGGGCTGTTCTCTCGCCACCTTTATATATGGGGCTTATATTTGCTTTCTTCCAGTCGGTAGGCAGAGCCCCGGTCTCCATCGAAGTTCTGAAGATCCTGGATAACGGAGAGGCCAGGTGGTCTGACAGTTCATTCAGGACTTTTGCGAACATGCCGTCCGGACCAGGGGATTCAGTGGGCTGTAGTTGCCTCAAAGTTTTCCTTACCGTGTCTGTTGTGAAGTCCACCGTGCTAATTGTACTGTCTGTTTTGACAATTGGGGGGTAAACTCTTCCATCAAAAGCCGGCTCTTCGGTATACACAGACGTGAAGAAGTCGGACAACAGACCCGCCTTGTCTGAGTTGTCAGACAGCGTATTGCCCTGGCGATCTTTTAAGCAGGGAATGCAGTCCCGGTTGCGTTTTGCTTTATTCACGTATCCAAAGAATTTTTTTTATTTTGCTGGATATTTTTTAAAAGTTTTGACTCAAATTGTGCCCGTTCCCTTCTCAACAGATTCCGATATACATCCCTCTGTTTTTTGAAGTCAGCGAAATGCTCTGGTTGCTGACAACTGGCGTACATTTTCCAAAGTCTCATTTTTTCAGTTTAAGGTTCTTCTTTATTTCTGACGTCACGCACTCTGGTTGGGAAGTGCGCAGCTTCTTCTTAAGTGGGCAACAGCTCTCTACCAAGTGTTGCGTTATGTTCTTGAAGAAGAGCCAATCGATTTCTGGGTTCCAGTTTACCATCTGTAGCAGGTTTTTCATTCGGGTATAATTCCTTTTCCATACATTTCTTTCCTCAGCAGCTCGAATTTCGGGTACAGAAAAATGGCTTTACTCCCAAACAAGCACGCTGTGGTCATTTCAATCAAGGGGCGTGTGCGATTCCAACCTGAGAATGCAACTATCATCCCTAGTGATGATGAGGTCCAAACAACTGGACTGCTGTCCATCCCTGAATCGAGTGTCCATTTCAACATGCTGGGTAAGGAATCCAATTGGGATCAGTTGCATAAGTTTCTGTTCGAAGGAGTTTTCTGATCGCGTTAAATGCATCAAATCCCACTCTATGTCTGGACAGTTGAAGACACCAAGTAGCATTATGTGTTTCCTTCGACAAATGTCTTTTATCTCGGTGATAAGTGCATCGTCCGAATCCGTCCGCTGGCTTGGCGGTCGGTAAACCAGGGCCATATGGAGGCTTGGGTGGCTTGGCAACTTCATGTAACAACTGAGTATTTCACAATCAATGTGTCGAAATGGGGAAGACTCAACCCCGACGTAGTCGATGCCATCTCGTATAAATATCGCAATCCCCCATCCCTTCGTTCGTTTCATTTCATTCGGAGAATCTGAAAACCATCTAGCATAACTTCCGCGTCTTCCATCTGCGCATCTAACCATGTTTCCGTTAAAGCTATCAAGTAGGGTTGGAAATGGGCCACAGTGAGTTCTGTTTCATCTAATTTGTTGAATAAGCTCTGTACATTTGTGTACATCATTTTTATATTATTCGGCTGTCTAGATCTCTGGAAATTGTTCGCTGGTGCTTTTGACTGATAGTTATTACTGCATATTTCACCTGGCATACCAAGTCGACTAGTCGATTTTGAATTTACTGGAGTTTGTTGGAACCGAGCGCCGGTGCTTTTATCGTCAATGTCACCGGATGATTCCACAAGAAGGAACGCTCTATTTTTACAATTTGGTTGTTTGCTATTTTCAGATTCACTTCGCCCTCGCTTTGACGTTTTCTCAGTTCCACTACCAGCGTCCTCATTTTCATTCGTTCGATTGGGTGATAGTCCGGCTGAAAAAACACTCAACGATGGTTTTTTCGAAGCCTGGACTTTCGCGACAAGATGAGATTTGCTTGCTGTTCGTTTCCCAATACGACTTTTAGTGGTCTCGGCCGCACCTTGTCTGCGTTGTTTCGTACTAAAGGTCCCAAACGGAAGATCTTTTGGATTTCGACGACGTCACCGGGTTCTTGCGTGTCATTGAGTAAGTTTTGGAATGTCAGCAGATCGTGTTTTACCCTCTCTTTCGGGGTGTCACCAGGTACTTCAGGAACTCCTTGCATTACTACACAACGTGATCTCTCGGAAAAAAACTGGTGGTTGTATCCTGCCCCCTTTTGTTGGCGGTAGATTTAGTCTCAGGCTCTGGGACTGCCTTTATGGCTGTATCCAGATCAGTTGATAAGTTGCTCGCGTCCGTGATATATGCTGTAACGTCTTTATTTGGCAGCCTCACCTGACTTTTTGTATTATAGCTTGGTACACATGTGAAGGGCAAGCTGCCAGCGCTCTTTGTTGGCGTACGTATGTCCATACGATTACTTTCTACAGGCTTTTTTGGGGTTGTCGATCGTTGTTTTGTTTTTGTGCAGGCGGACTCTGCATGATCCAGATTTGTCAAATTTATGAAAATGCGAGAGCCAGTTTCATTCCTGTCTGCCTTATTTTTATTGCCGTCCATTTCGGTTGAGTCCGAAGACTTGTCTAGTGACTTCGTGCGTTGCCTTTTGTTTCGCTGAACGCGACGACTATAACTTTTTACCGGTAACTTGAGGTTAATGTGGTCCGGCTCATTGATGTTTTTCATGTCCGTTGTATCATGTTCAGGGGGTTTAATTTTGTTATACTTAAGAAGTGACGGTATTATTTCAGTGAGGAGGTCGACGTCTACTAATAGTTTAAAAACTCTGGTGGTGAGTTTTCGACATCGATCACAGCGTGTCGACATGTCAGTATCTAGCTTATTTGTGGCTGACATCAGCAGTGAACTGCGTTCCTCGAGGTCGGTGGTCGGTGGCCCATTACGTCAAGTTGAGAGCGAGTTGAGTATTTCCGGCAAATTTTTATCACAGGAAATAGAAAACGGTTTACAAATAAGTGGTAGGTCGCCTTTTCCTGAGAATATATTATTTTTGTGGACATCGCACCGTCCGGGCGTGGCCGAGCGGTTAAGGTCGTCAGCTCTCGCACGAGTGGTCCGTGGTTCGAAAACCGAGTAAGGCCGATTCTTGTCAGACATAGTAGGGTCATGGAAATTTGCATTCCCCACGCTAGCAAGAAATCTTTGAGATTGCATTAATTTATAATGGGCGACTTCAATTGCTAAGTGGATAATTTACTGAGCACAAAGTAAAGCTTTTTTTCCAAACGGAATGCAATATAAAATGTCAATTGGAAGCAAAGAAGGACTTAGCCTTCGCAGACAGGTTCCAAGTAGTCTTCGATTTCTGCCGGTTTTCGAACACTTCGTCGAAGGAAGATTAACATTGTAAGCATGATGGAACCGGTATTCGTAGGAATCTAAACAAAACCGAGCTAGATGATTTGTTAAACTCCGGATTGTTGTTTCCTGAGAGCCTCAGTGAAGGATGAAGATATCACCGGTAAAGGAGGTTGCTTGCACTTTTAAAATGATTTCTCGGTTTATTTCGACAAGGCTTACCTCTGGGTAGAAAAAAGTGATCGAAATGTTAAAACTTGGGAAGACGAGTAAATTCCTTACAAACGTGCCGAAGACTTTGGAGAAGCAGTCCTCATCGAAAACAGCGAATGTCCGCTTGATGGCATATATCATTGAAGTTGCGGCCTTGGCCGCCTTAAAACATTGTGTGGAAGACTTTAGGCTGTCTGCAACCCAAACCCCAAGATCCTTCTACGTTTCTGCATCTGGAAGTGGTATTCCGTTCAGGTGGTATTGCCGCGTACTAGGGGTCAGATTTCCAAGACGCAGTATGGTACGTTTGTTCAAATTGAAGGACAAGTGTCATCTGCGGGGCCACTCGTCCAATCGACAAAGATTTTCTTGGAATTTGGTCTCATCGGCAGCATTCTGGATGACTTTCCAGATTTTTATGTCATCCGCAAACATGGCACTATCACAGTCCAACCCATCTACACAATCATTGATGAACAAGATAAAGACGGTTGGTCCGAGCACCGAGCCTTGTGGGACTCCGCTCTCTATGACTTTGCGCCTTGATTGCTCTTGTTCTACGCAGACAATTTGGGAGCGGCCGACGAGGAAGTTCTCGATCCATTTGAAAAATTTGCCGCCAAAGCCCATAATTCTCAACTTGTGCAGGAGACGCTGGTGCGGAACACTGTCGAACGCCTTTCGGAAATCAATGTAGGCAACATGCACAGTGTGTTTTTCGTCCGGTGCTATTGTCCAACTTTGCATTATATATATCAAGTTCGTTACACATAATCTTCCCCTGCGGAAACCATATTGTGCATTGGACAATAGGTTGTGGGTTTCTCAATAAGCCATTAACTCCTTTTTTATGGTTTTCTCCATCACTTTGCAGCAGATTGATGTCAGACTGACGGGTCTGTAGTTTGTCGCAAGAGCACGATGACCGCTTTTGTAGAGGGACGTAATGCCGAAAGGATTCCGGCATCAAACGATTCCTGGCACAGAGAGGTTAATGGCTTAGCCAGCTCTCGGGCAAGCTTGAAAGCTGGCCAAAGCATAATCCGAGGTTGTGGAAGAAATTTCGGAAAAACAAAAACAATGCAGCGTTTACAGAATATGAATTTCAAAGAAATAATGCAAAAGTCGGATTTTCAAAAGACGAAGGGATTTCAAGAGCAATTTGCCCCGCCACGGTATCGGATATAATCAGTCGCCAATTCCTTTCATACAGTTGGGGCTAGTCCAAACAGAAGCGCCGAAGAACAGCTGTCGCTGTTGGTCAAAGAAATATTCCCTGGTGAGACCGGCCATAGTGGTCAGAGACCACAAACGTCATCGCTACGGTACAGTCGATCAGTGGATTCAGCACCCAAAATTTGTGGGAGCTTTTCGGAATGCAAAAACCGAGTAATAGTTCTCTTAAATAAAGAATAATTTTGCAGAGTTTTTACACTCGTGGGTAGTTTATTCCAAATAGCAATTAAAGTTACAGAAAAGAACCGACGATATTTAATAGTACGTGCCAGAGGAAGAAATAAAAAGACCTCACGGTGTCTGTTACGTCGTGGGTGGACATGGTGTCTTAAAGAGGTGAGTAGGTTAAATGTGCGATAATATAAGAGTTTAAATAGCAAAAATAGTCCCTTTTGTAATCTACGGAACCAAAAAGGATCAAGGCCTGTAAGCCGGCAACGTTCTTGGTAAGACAAATGTCGGTGTTCCGGGGTTAAAATTCTCTTGGTAAAAAAGTGTTGAACGGATTCTATTTTCTTCCGCTCAGTAGCACGCATGAGGCTAAATGAAAACGAACAGTATTCCAGGCCAGTTCTAACGTACATGTTGTAAAGGCGCATTCTAATGTCCCTAGTTTTAAAGTTTCGGAGGATAAACCCAGTCGTTCTGCGTGCTTTGGAGACTATCAAGGCACAGTGCTCCGAGAGATTGAGACTCTTGGAGTATGATATGCCCAGATCTTTTATGACCCTGGGCACATTTATGGCGTGACCCTCATTGCTTAGTTGCGTTTGGCGGTCGTCGCCAACCACCATGACTAAGCACTTATGCCAAGAAAGAGGAAGGCGCCATGTGCGGCACCACTGGGCGAAAGCCTGTCGATCGCTCTTTAGGAGCTCAAGCACGATGTCACGATCTGCCGGCTTATATCGATATGCAACTTTAAGATCATCGGCACACATGAACGGCTTACCATTCTGAAATAAATCGGGTACATAATAAACGAAAAGGCAAAATAAAAGCGGGCCGAGTACACTACCCTGAATGACTCCACTCCTCACACGTGTTGGGTTGGAGATGGTATTGGAAATCTTAACTCGTTGTGTGCGAGTGCCCAAATAAGAGGATATAAAATTCAAAAGTTTGCCACCTATTCCGAAAGAGGACAATTTCAAGAGAAGAAGAGCATGGTCAACACGGTCAAAAGCCTTAGTGAAATCGAAATATACTGTGTAAAGAGCAAAACCATGGTCCCTAGATTGGAGAACATACTCAAAGAAAGAGAGTTGACAAGTGTCACAAGATCGAGCTTTGAGGAATCCATGCTGAGCAACACTCAGTAAGTTATTCGCTGTTCAGTGACACATTATCTTATCTTTGATCAATGTCTCTAAGATCTTCGAACCTGCGTGGAGGGGGTTTATTGGCCGAAAGTCATCAAATGATGTACATTTGCCGTGCTTAGGAATGGGCAAAATGTGTGATTCCTTCCACAATGTAGAATAAGTTTCACTTTCAAGAGCGAG